AATACACGTTCATATAAAGTTCTGCAAATTCGAAAATAAGAAACCATTGCTAAATGTTAAAAACGTTTCTATTTGTTTATTTTTCTTCAATCTATACGGTACTTGATTTTAAATTGTTAAATCACTACCAGTTTTGTATTAATTTTAAGCCTAGTAAGTAAAAAATTTGCCATACTTATGTAAATTCCCTCTAAAAGGAAGAACCCTAGAGCCTTGAATATAGCCAAAACGTTGGCCCAAGAAAAATGATGTTTTTATTTACTGTTACTATCTATTGACCGATAAACCCAAAAACTTAAATGGGCATATTTTACATATATCTTTCTATGTATAGCGAGATAAAAAGCAGCTATTTTCTTAATGATATTTTTAAGCCGTTTTTTTCCGCTGGTAAAACATATTTATGATCTGCTGACTGAATATACCAAAGCTACTTGCTGTAGATAATTCCGTTAATTCAGTTTGAAGATAGCATTTTCACAGTAGGTATCGCCGTGTAAGAGACGCCATAAAATAATAATGAATAATTTAGGTATCCTAGTCTTTTCGGGCTGTTTGGCTGTAGGTAAGTAGTCTTAGATTTAGCGAGGTGATAAATTGTTTTTGAAATTAACTTCTAGTTATAGCACAAGCTGCGAACAGCTCAATACTCTGTTTTACTTGTAATCCAACACATTCTAGTAGATGTCTGGCAAACACTCTGAATCAACCAACAAATTGTTCTGCACCAAACAATTTGACTGCACCTGCATGCTTTTCGGAGTATCTAAACTACAATAGTAAGTATAAAAGAGATCAAGCTGTTTTTTTATTTTATAATATTCTATTTTGATATCCTTGCGATTGGAAAATTTCACATTAATTCATTTATTTTTTAAGTCTATACAAATTGATTACCCTTGCGGTTAAGCCTCGGATGACACATCGTTTGTTTTTCTTTAATCCGTTTACAAATTTATTTTTGGACAAAATAATAGCTTTTGAGTAATTGATAAGCTTTAGTCCAATGTGACTAATATTATAAACCTGGATAGGAATTCTTTAAATATTTTGAAAAGGTTCATATGACGGATGAGAAAATTATTTCGAATCATCTTGGAAGTAATAAGTCATAAAGATGCAAACTATTCTGTATGGGAGTATTCCGATCCATGATATTTATTTTCGGGAATAAAGTTTAGTATGTTCATTGGTGATACATTTTATAATACACTTTCCATGTTTGTTTCAGTTGCAGTTGATACAAATTAATACACACAGTAGCGAAAGAGTGACACCTTTCTGAATATATTTTTTTGTAGATGTAAGTGGGAATACTGTCTGGAATAATTTCACAGGAATACACAGAGGATGCATTGGGGCTAATATGACTTTAGTGAACTATTGTTCAAGAAACCTTGCTCCCAATGTAACCCGACTATCTTGCCAAACGTGCAATTCTTCCAGGTGCAACACTCACACTTTTAGCAACAGTAAGTCCACATTTAAACAAAATGTATTTTTGGTAATTTTGGTAAAGCCTCGTTAAAGATTATGGTAATTTCATGTTTTGATTGAAATGCAGTTCCAATTATATGCTCGGGATAACGAACAATTTAAAAATCTTTCTCATATTAGTTGCCAAAGAAAAGTTTTACGTGTTAAAATCCTGAGAAAAGTCTAAGAGTCATTCGACCATTTCAATTATTTTATTTACATAAGTGTTGTGCTACGTATGTCTATTACAACATTTAAAATAATTTATTATAAACCAGATTCTTAAGTTGTGCAAGTATTTATAATAAAATTAGATATTTTAGTAATACAAAATAATAATATTAACTCATCTTTTTATTCACATTTTACCAGTTGGAAACGTTAAATTTTTGTTTGTTGCAACATAATGAAATAGTACGCAAACTTAAGATGATGAATGTAAATAGAAAATGAAATTGTGCAGTTTATTCATGAGCTTGAAGAAAATGCCTTTATTTGATACAGAGTTTTTCGAGTTTTCGCTGCAGTTCAATCCTACAAGTGTTTAAATAGAATGACTCAGGTTTCATGGAATAATTAAGTCCTACTCCATATTTTATGACGGCTTCAGTATTGATGCCGAATTTTTTTGAGCCATCATTCAACTAATGATTGATCTTTATCACCACAAAATGCTTACAGACTTAGGAAAGCAATTAATATCAGTGAAGTTGAACGTGAAAACCTACATTTTTCGTCGGCGTCTATCTTTCTTTGGAAAAAGTTTTAAATTCAGGGACCACTAAATACTAGTTGTCTCAGAGAAAATTCAAAATTCCTATAAAAGTTTAATGAAAAAAAAAACAGAAACTTGGATAGCCTTGTGTACTTGAGAGATCCTAAAACTGCATCATAACAATGTATTTCCAGTTGAAAACTACTTGATTTTTAAGTGCAGTTTGTTTCTAAAACTATGAGCATAAGTTCTACTTAGAATACTTTCGATGCAATGAAATTTAAGGTAAAAGAAGTCAATTGTCATCAAAATATGGAATTTTTGTTGCAACTTTAACATTAGACTTTTTTTCTATAGAAAGATAGGTATCTTACAAAATAAATGCGTTGAATTTCTCCGAAAAGTTTTGATCTTACCAAAATTTTATTAAATTTTTGTATTTACTATCTTTTTCATTGTTTGTGCTCAATATTTAATACTGCAATGTAGTTATAGGTTCGTTGCAGTGAAACTTTTTATTGTTACAATTGAAACGAAATGTTTGATTTAGATGGAGGCATAACAGGACCAGGAACAGGAGCAGACGGTACAAGTGGTGGCAGTGGAGCCTCCAACATTATTCCGTTCGTTTCATTGATTATTTTTAGTTTTTTTGTGTCTCATATAAAAGCTGGTTTTCGAGGAAGTAATTAATCTTTGCCTTTTAAATTTAACGTTCTCAAGAGAAGAAACTTCGAAATTTAGCATTTCTTTTATTTATTTAATATTTTTCATTTGTTAGACAATTTATTTGTAGATATTTAATAGAAAGCTACAGCATCCATTATTACACGCAATAATGTAACGCGAAAGATATAGATATCTAATTTATTTTTTATCAGATGTTTATTTTTTATTTAAGATTTAAGATTATTATTTTTTTGGTTTTAACATGAGACTAAATTATTAATATAACCATGCAGCTGAAATATGTAATATAGGCTTCTAAATAAATATATTCGAAAATTTTGATGTGAATATATTGAGAATTATATATACAGGTTGTCCCCGAAATGACTTATATAACGCTTAGCCACACATTCCTTATACGAAGAAAAGGCGATGTGGGCAAAGTTACCCATATCCATAGTTGCTTCATTTCGTCGCTATAGGGCTTCAAATTTCTCGCATTAAAATCGTTTTTTCCAAATAATTACTAAATGGTTTATTGATTTTTTTCTAATGTTGGAATCAACACTTCCTACATAAATTGACGTGTTTGAGGTAAGTATGGTATTTTTATACGTTACAATATTAAAAATGACGCTTGGTTCGTTAATAAATGTTTGTATTTTCGTTCCCTTTCTACAAATAATCCCAATTTTTTTCCCCTACTAGCTGCTTTTCTTTGGCAACGCAGCTTGGTCTGACCTACAGATTCTGTACCAATAATTATTTAGTGATAACTAGAGGGCGGAAAATATGCAAAGTGCATATCTATGCATTTTTTGCATATTTTATCCAATTTCATGAAAAATTGCATATATCTAAAA